CCTGGGTAGTTAGCAGAAAAATGAGTGAAAGGGTGGAAGCAGCTGGCTGTTCTCTTCCCCTGTGCTGACTTGCCTGCGGTCATCCACTAAGTACACTCGAGTGGAGCGCATTTTCTCCACTTGCCTACCGGAGCTACCACGTTCCAACACTATCTTCCAGAAAGCTACAACAGTCATGTAAACACTGCTTCAAGGCGTTTTGACCTCAAAACAGGAAGACGTTTTGATTTTACCTTTCACACTTCGCTAAATCAGCTGTAAGAGTCACATGAAGGAGCAGCGGGGTGGGGTTGCCTGATCAGAAGCAGCCTCATTTCCCCTGCTAAAGAGCTTGGGCCTGGCGGTACAAGCAATAGGCGACCTAAATGGAGAAATGACACGATCAGACGTGTGCTAGAAAAATCATTCTTACAGGCTTTTAAATAGTGGAAAAGGGTGAGATAGAAATTGGAAGGAGGAAGACAGGGTGGAGAAGGGGTGAGCGGTGTTCAGAAATGGAATCTGAATGTGTCAGATGCTGGGGTGCAGCAGAGAAAAACGTTTTCTTCAGCCACTGGGACTTGCAGCTTGGTTAGTGGCTGCACCCTCAGAGACTAGAATGGAAAGAGGACAGAAGGGGGGTTGGGATAGAGCTCTGGAAAAAAATCAGCGGGTAAGAGGTAGGCAGAGAAGAGGGGGCTTGCAAAGAATGACTGAGGAGGAGGAAGGCAACCACAAAGGCACTTCATCGGCATCAAGTGTGGAAAAGTACCAGTCGGATGATAAAGATACATAGAGATATATATTGGATGTGACAACAAAGAATGTCCTTGGGCCCTTTGCAGAGAGCAGTTTCAGTGAGTGATGGGGCAGAAGCTGGGTCATGGGTGACAGGTGAATGGGAGGTGAGAGAGTGGAGACTGTGCTTTCGGAGTGTTGGGCAAGGACAGGTAAGACAATTGGACAGTAGTGAAATAGGGACGTGGATGAAGGGAGATTTTGCCTTTTCCCTTTAAATGTTTTCATCCGCCGGTGGGAATCAGCTAGTGAAAAGAGGGACAGGTGGTGCAGCCTTGTCCCAGAAGCCATGGGAAGAGATGAGTCCAAAGGATGAGCCTGCAATAGGAAGACCCAAGGAGAAAGATCAGAATGGATGTTTCTCTTGTTTTGATTTGGGAGAGGGTGCAAGGGAGGTGGCAAGAGGACGACCTCCCAGGGCAGCTTACCTGCAGCAAGTGAGGGTGACAACACTGACAGGCTTTGGAGGAAGAAATGCAAAATCCTCTCAAGTATGTCCTTTCATAACCAACCTGTGCTGGGGTAAACCCAGATTATTTTCATCTTTTCTAAACACAACTAACTCCACCACACTTTCTCTGTCTTGAGAGAAAGGGGTTGAAATGTACATATCCAGGTATCCAGGATGGACCTTTTTTTTTTTTTTTTGAGATGGAGTCTCACTCTTTCTGGCTGAGTGTGGTGGCATAATCTCGGCTCTCTGCAACCTCTGCCTCGCCTCCCAGGTTCAAGCGATTCTTCTTCCTCAGCCTCCCAAGTAGCTGGGATTATAGGCATGCACGACCACAACCAGCTAATTACTGTCTTTTTAATAGAGACAGGGTTTCACTGTATTGGCCAGGTTTGTCTTGAACTCCTGACCTCAGGTGATCCGCCCGCCTCAGCCTTCCAAAGTGCTGGGATTGCAGGCATTAGCCACTGTGCTCAGCCCAGGATTGACTTATTAGCAATGCACTAGAGAATCAGGAGTTGGATGTGGGTTTCACATCACAGTAGACCCATGAGCTGCTAAGAGTCTGATTTTGAGGAAGTCACGATTCCATTTTCTTTTTATAATTGTGGTGCCTATCCCTCAGTTTGATTTCATTCCCTTAATATTTGTTGAGCAACCAGCATGCACATCTGTCCCAAGAACACTGCCACAGAACACATAGCACTGTGTAGCCTTTGCTCTCAAGCTCTGTTTCTTCACTTCTTCCTCAAGGCGACTTGAGGGCAAATACTCTTTCTCCTCTTTATCCTGATGCCAGAGCTGGGCCCAGAACACACTGGGCACCAAGGAAATCTTTGTTTAGATGACTGGGTGAAGAATGGAATGAGTATTTCTCAAACTAGTGTGTTCCAGCCTATTAATAGGCTATCAGTGGCCTATAAAATTAATTTTAGAGGAGGTAAAATTTTACAGGAGGTATCAACCATCATTTTCATCTTAATGAAATAGAATAGAATTGAATTTAAATGATCAGAGTGGTTACACATAGTAAAGGTAAATACTGTTTCTTAAATCATTGGGGGCTGTGTGTGTGTGTGTGTGTTGATATTTATAATTAGACTATGTTTTTTTTTAAGTTTGAAAGCCACTGCTGTAGCAAACCCAAAGATAAGTACAATAGCTTACAACTAACAGTTCATCTGTTCTGCACATTGCAGAATCTCTCGTGCCCAGCACACACCAGATCTCACTAAATATTTGTTGACTACATCAATTCATAAGAATGGATGAAGTCATTTGTGGGAGGGATATAAAAGAACTGGGCCTTAATGGATGAATGGAATTTCAACAGGTAGAGAGATGGGAGAGTTCCTTCCAGAAGAAAGAAGGATCACATCATCAAAGATGTGCAAGTTAGGAAAGGAACAAGTGGAAAGTAGGATGGGCACAAAGCAGAATGGGTGAGAAGACAAAAATGAAGACATTTTGAGGTGGAAGCAAAAGCCAGCGTGAAGTCTTTTTATACTATCAGTGAAGCAAACGTGCTGAGTTATGTCTCCTCTAGCAGCAGTGGCCCACACCGGCTGCCCACAGTGGCAGGCTCTGAAGCCCAATGCTTGAATCCAAGTCTTAGCTCTGCCACTTACCAAATGAGTGACCTTAGGCAAGTTCCTTAATCTCTATGTACTTCATTGTTTGTGAAATGGAAATAGCATTACATCTGTCTGCATTAGGATTAGATTCCACTGCTAGTAACTGTGGGAGACCAAAATATGAAGGATTGTTGAGCTGAAGACAGTTAAGAAGAAGCCAGCTTGGCACAAATGGATCTTTGCTTGGATCTTTGCAAGGTCTTCCTAATGGTCTCTCTGTTCTGCTAGTCTCTTTCCCCTCCCCTCCAGCCCCCACGGAGCCTCATGCAATCTCTCTAATATAACCGCTTACTCTGCTTAACACTCGTCAGTGGCTCCCTATGCCCACCCCTTAGCATGGCTCACTGGAGGTCTGGCCCAGCCTGCCCTTCCAGCCCATTTTGTCACAGCATTGCTTGCGCTCCACACAGCAGTCTACCTGGGCTCTCCAGTACACCCGTGCCTTTGCACTTTCAGGATGCTTTGCCTGGTGGGCCCTTTCCACCTAAGCCTCTAGCACCAATTCTTTAGTTTCTTCCTCTGCAAAACTTCCTTTTTGTCTCCTTCACCACTCAGAGAGCCCCCTCTGTCAGTAAATTGTATCACAGACTTTTTTAAGAGTCAGGATCTCACTCTGTCACCCAGGTTGGAGTGCAGTGGTGTGATCACAGCTCACTTCAGTCTCTTACTCCTGGGCTCAAGTGATCCCCTCCCACCCCAGCCTCCTGAGTCACTGAGATTTTAGGTGTGAGCCACCGCACATGGCATAGACATTTTAATAGCTCTGAAACCAGTGAGCACCTTCACTTGGCAGTGTCTTAAAACTGCTCTTCACCTCTTCTGAAGTCAAGTACTTCCTGAGATAATTGATGTTTGCTTTCCTCGTCACCTGGGGCAGTACCAACCTGAGTCTCTGTGGCAGGCAGCCTCTAAGATGACGCTCATCTATCCCTCCCTCTCAGTGTTCGTGCCCTTCTGTAATCCCCTCCCTTTGAGTGTGGGCTTGACCTGGCGACTTGCTTCCAATGGACAGACTACAGCAAAAGTGATGGGATGTTCCTTACAGGATTAGGTAACCAAAAGACTGCCCCCCCCTTTTTTTTTAAATTGAGACAGAGTCTCACTGTGTTGCCCAGGCTGGAGTGCAGTGGTGCAATCTTGGCTCACTGCAACCTCCACCTCCCAGGTTCAAGTGACTCTCTTGCCTCAGCCTCAAGTAGCTGGGGATTACAGGTGCCTGCCACCACGCCCAGCTGATTTTTATATTTTTAGTACAGATGGGGTTTCACTATGTTGGCCAGGCCCGTCTTGAACTCCTGACCTCAGGTGATCTGCCCACCTCAGCCTCCGAAAGTACTGGGATTACAGTCATGAACTACTGTGCCCAGCCAAGACTCACCATCTTCTTGCTGGTGTATTGCCTACCTCTCTACTCTTGCTCGCTCTTTCCCTCTTCCTCTTTCTCTTTCCCTGAACCTCACTTGGAGGAAACAGGCAAGTTTATACATGAGTAAAGTATTGAAAGTGTATCACAGGGTACATTCTAGCCAGTGGCATGCTGGATAGAAAGGTGCATATACTTTCAATTTTGATAGTTAACTGCCCAGTTATCCTCCAGAAGATTTACCAACTTACACAGTTGACCCCTGTACAACATGGGATTTTAGGGGCACTGACTCCTCCACATAGTCAGAAATTTGCATATAACTTTTGGCTCCCCAACAACTTAACTACTTCTAGCCTACTGTTGGCTGGAAGCTTTATCTAGAAAAGTTGATCAACACATATTTTGTATGTTATGCATATTTACCATATCCTTAGAATAAAGTAATCTAGAGAAAAGAATTACTAAGAAAATCATAAGGAGGGCCGGGTGTGGTGGCTCACACCTGTAATCCCAGCACTTTGGGAGGCCAAGGAGGGTGGATCACTTGAGGTCAGGAGTTCAAGACCAGCCTGGCCAAAATGGTGAAATCCTGCCTCTAAAAAAATACAAAAATTAGCTGGGCATGATAGCGAGTGCCTGTAATTCCAGCTATTTGGGAGGCTAAGGTGGGAGAATCACTTGACCCTGGGAGGCAGAGGTTGCAGTGACCTAAGATCATGCCACTGTACTCCAGCCCGGGCGATGGACTCCATCTCAAAAAGAAAAAAAGAGAGAAAATCATAAGGAAGAGAAAACATATTTACTATTCATTAAGTGGAAGTGGATCACCATAAACGTCTTCATCCTCATCGTTTTCATGCTGAGTAGGCTGAAGAGGAGGAAGAAGAGGGGTTGGTTTTGCTGTTTCAGGGGTGGCAGAGGTGGAAGAAGTAGAGGAGGTAGAAGGGGAGGCAGGAGAAGCAGGCGCACATTCAGAGTGACTTTTACTGAAACAAATCTGCACATAGTGAGCCCACACAGTGTAAGCCCATGTTGTTTGAGGGTCAATTATTTTTGTCTAATGAGAATTCTTTTCCTCCTCCTCTTTAACCCTTCACCAGTATCAGCCATCTTTCTAATGTTTGATAGATTTTAAAAAATCATATCTTATTGTTTCAATTTAGTTTTATGAAGTCAGGTGAGCATCATAAAAATAAAGTTTTTTGGCCATTTATTTTTCTGTCTATATGTATTTTTGCCAAATTAAAACTAGGTGATTCATATTTTCTTATTCCTGTGGGTGAAATAATTTCTTATGCATCTGAATGTTCTTAATCATTTCTTTATAAGGAAATCAACCTTTGGTTGTAAATTAAAAAAAAAAAAACAAACACACAACGGTTTCCCAGCATAAGAATCACCAAAGTCTATAATGCCAGAGCTCAGGATACTTGACCCTGTGTTTGGTAGAATCGTGATAAACAAAGGATTGGGCAATAAGTAAGTTGAGTATAAGGGAAGCCAGATTTCTCATTATTAGTGAAGGGGGTTACAAATATGGAGTGGGCAAAGCTAGAATAAGCCCTGTTGGATTGGAATTGGAAGTGCTGGCGTGAGCTCATGGTCTTTTATAAGGATAGATAGCTACAAAAATGGATATTGTGGTCCACCGCTTTTTTGAAACTTTCCTCTTCTGAAGGAAATCTCCTTGCCCTTGAACATGGGCTGGACTTAGCGACTTGCTTCTCACCACCAGAACATGATGGAAGGGATGTATCTATATACGTGTTCTTCCATACATATATATTTAATATATATATTAAATTGGGACACTGGCAAATTTTGAATGGGGACTGTGGATAAGACAGATGGTAATAGTGAATTGATCTTAATTGATGGTTGACCTGCAGTTATCTGGGAGAATGTCACAGATTTTCAGAAATATGTGCTGAAATATGTGCTCTCAAATGCCATAAAAATGTAAATATGTATATATGGAGAGATAAAATGATAATACCATTGTGGTAAACTGTTAACTGAGGAATCTGAGTGAAGTTCTTTGTACTACTCTTGCAACTCTTCCACAAATTTGAAATTATTTCAGTATAAAAGTGTTTTAAAAACAGCCCTTCCCAGTTTGTTGTTGAGGTTTTGACTTTATGTTTTTTTTTAATAAGCAAAAAAAAAATTTTCAAGTAGTTCAGGCTTTATCAAGCTTTGCCCTTTTGGCTTTTGGGTGATATATCCTGTCTGGAGTAGTCATTTGAAGAAAGTCCCTGGACGAACAGCTAATTAAAGAGGTAAACTTTGATCCCACCTTTGCAAGAGAAACACCAAGAAGCATTGAGAAAAAATTGCTCAACTTTTCTCTACAGCCATAGCTTAGGAGATAGAAACATGGAGCCCTACAGCTTCACTGTCCACAGAGCATCTTCAGTTGAATCTCTAGCCAATACTTCAAATTCAACAGAGCTAAAACTTGCCTAATCCTTTTGCCCTAGTCACTTCTCTGGACTCTCCTATTTCTGAGGGTCTCGCAGGTACACAAACTCAGGAACCATCTTTGCGACTTCCTCTCGCTCCTCCCACATCTGGGAGGAGTAAGTGATGTGCCTTACTCTTTCTTCATCTTCTTATTACATTCTGCCAACTCCTATTCCAGATCCACATCCTTCAAACCTAAACTGACACTGTAGCCATCTCCATTTACCACCTCCTAGTTGGTAATCCTCAATAACTTAATCCTGGTGGAAAGCTCTCATGGACTTCTTCCATTATTGCCTAAGATTATTTATTATAGTGCAACTTAAAAATATTTAGAAGCCCGGCTGGGCGCAGTAGCTCACACTTGTAATCCTAGCACTTTGGGAGGCCAAGGCAGACAGATCGCGAGGTCAGGAGTTTGAGACCAGCCTGTCCAATATGGTGAAACCCCATTTCTACTACATGGTGGCGCATGCCTGTAGTCCCAGTTACTCGGGAGGCTGAGGCAGGAGAATCGCTTGAACCCAGGAGGTGGAGGTTGCGGTGAGCCGAGATTGTGCCACTGCACTCCAGCCTGGGCGACAGAGTGAGACTCCATCTCAAAAATGTATGTATATTTGGATATCAACTCCCTAACCTAAGAGCTTTCATCCAACTTTAAAACTGAAAGAAATTTAAAAATCAAATACAAACAAAAGCATAGAACCAATAAAATTCAAATGGACATTTAGAACCAATAAAATTCAAATGCCAGATGCTCTTCTGTTGACTGTGCTGTTGTTCACATTATAGTCATGATCTGGATGGCTTTCTCAGATTCCATGTGTCTATATGGTTATAGGTATTGATAGCCAATTTTCCCATCATTTTCCTCTATTGGAACTTCTACAAAACTGTGGTGACAGTTGCACCACAATGTGAATGTACTTAAAACACTATTAAACTGTACACTTAAAAATGGCTAAGATGAAGCCAGCCATGATGGCTTACATCTGTAATCCCAGCACTTTGGGAGGCCAAGGTGGGTGGATTGCTTGAGCTCAGGAGTTCGAGACCAGCCTGGGCAACATGCTGAAATCCTGTCTCAACAGAAAATACAAAACTTAGCTGGGCCTGGTGGCATGTGCCTGTAGTCCCAGCTCCTCTGGTGGCTGAGGTGGGAGGATTGCTTAAGCCCTGGAGGTCACTGCTACAATGAACCTTGATTGTGCCACTCCACTCCAGCCTGGGCAACAGAGTGAAACTCTGTCTCAAAAAATAAAATAAAATAAATGGTTACGTTGGCAATTTTCATGTTATATATATTTTACTGAAATGAAAACTCTTTTTAATTTAGTATTATTATAGGTGAAAGATAAAAAACTTAATGCTTGTAGAGACTCTGAATATTTCTGCAGGCACCCTCCCCCGCAGTCTACAGAGCTTGGATCCATTTCCCACTCTATACCCTTAACCTGGGGTCCTCAGTGAACTTCACTTTGACTTCTCACCACGCTTCACTGTTGCCCCTCAACTCTCCTCTCCATCCAACTTCACCGCCAGCCAAATGGCGTCAACCAAACCCAATACACATCCTCACCTCTTTGCCTTGACTCATGTTCTTCCCCAGCTGCTCGTCTCATCTATCTAATCCTTCCATTTGTCTAAGTCCCTTTTCCTCCTCACAGTGGGATGGTCCCAGCCCACAGTGACATGCCCCTCAGCAGAGGGTGTCAATACACCCCATTTGGCAATAGTTCCACATTCTAAAATATTTTATCACTTATACTCTCAATCATTCCACAAACATTTATGGAAAATCCGCATGACAATGGGCTAGGCCTCTGAATCAGATGCTACATTTCCTGCTTTTTCTCTCAGAGCCCCTTAGACATTTCACAAATGTGTACTGCAGCTGTGTGGATGGTGTCCTACCAGTCTGTACTGTCATATTCCACACATGCACAGCAAATTTTAAACCACTGAAATCAAGGATAGTATAATCTTAGGATTTGCCTAAAGTAATAGGATGTTTTGTTGTTGCTAGCAGTTTGTGTTTTTGTTTGTTGTTTTTGTTTTTTTCTGAGACCGAGTCTCACTCTGTCACCCAAGCTGAAGTGCAATCTCAGCTCACTGCAACCTCTGCCTCCCAGGTTCAAGCGATTCTCCTGCCTCAGCCTCCCAAGTAGTTGGGATTACAGAGGCATGCCACCATGCCTGGCTAATTTTTATATTGTTAGTAGACATGGGGTTTCACCATGTTGGCCAGGCTGGTCTCGAACTCCTGACCTCAGGGGATCCACCAACTTTGGCCTCCCAAAGTGCTGGGATTACAGGCATGAGCCACTGCACCCAGTCTGTACCAATTTTTAAAAAGCCGGGCGCGGTGGCTCAAGCCTGTAATCCCAGCACTTTGGGAGGCCGAGGCGGGTGGATCATGAGGTCACGAGGTCAAGAGATCGAGACCATCCTGGTCAACATGATGAAACCCCGTCTCTACTAAAAATACAAAAAATTAGCTGGGCACAGTGATGCGTGCCTGTAATCCCAGCTACTCAGGAGGCTGAGGCAGGAGAATTGCCTGAACCCAGGAGGCAGAGGAACGGTGAGCCGAGATCGCGCCATTGCACTCCAGCCTGGGTAACAAGAGCGAAACTCCGTCTCAAAAAAAAAAAAAAGCAGTTGTCAGTATAAGAAAAGTTTCAGGACTGAGTTCAATGGGGATTATATAGCAGAAGACCACAGTTATGGAAGCTCCCATGAGGACAGCTGTAATGTTATTTGGTCATGAATGCTTATGATCAGAAAGAACATGCATTATTTTTAAAAATCCCCCTTCAATATGATGTACCTAATAGGGATCTGTACAAACACAAACCACTTTATTTACATGCCACACAGAGTTTGAGTAGACAGTTGTTTGTGCATTTTTTGTTTTGTTTTGTTTTGTTTTTGAGACTGAGTCTTCCTCTGTTGTGCAAGCTGGAGTGCAGTTGAACCATCTCACCTTATTGCAACCTCTGCCTCCCAGGTTCAAGAGATTCTTCTGCCTCAGGCTCTCAAATAGCTGGGACTATAGGCGTGCACCACCACACCTGGCTAATTTTTTGTATTTTTAGTAGAGATGAGGTTTCACCATGTTAGCCAGGATGATCTTGATCTCCTGACCTTGTGATCTGCCTGTCTCGGCCTCCCAAAGTGCTGGGATTACAGGCGTTAGCCTCTGCACCTGGCTGAGTAGACAGTTTTAAGGGCAATATAATCACTTCCTTGAACCCAGATTTGAATTTTAAAAAACTATATTCAAGCTCTGAGTGGCCCACTCCTTTCTGCAAAATGGTAATATGCTATATTTATTTGCTTAATTCCCCATTGTTTTGCTGTTTCAACATGATTTTGTACCCTCAGTCATTTCAATGTTAGTTAAAGGTTACATTTTCTTTCACTCTTACCCTTTTTGGAGCTTCATTTTCTCTCTTTATGTTCTCAAGTATAGCTTTGAGGCATAGGGTGTTTATTTCCAAGATCCACAACAATTACCTCCCTAGAAAATGTCACTCCTTTTAAAGGTCTTTTTTGGCTTTCAACAACAGAAGGAGTTCTAGTGACAGATATGTGTATTTTCTGCAAACCATCATCCTGCAAGAGAATGAGGACAAACAATATAAACAAATAATCAATTTATGACATCCGCTGCTTTTAAAATTATATATACACTGTTAAAGAAAAACAGAAAAAGCATTTCTAAATGATATAGGAAAGCAGTAATAATCCGTCATGATCACATTTTCACATTTTTATGGCTATAAAAGCATACACTGACATAGTCAAATAACATTTGGTGATGTGTAATTCTCTCCACAAAGTGGTCAAACCCAAGAGCCATCTGAACCATCATTCTGTCGTGGACTGGGCATGGCCATGGGGTGGGAGGGCATGTGAGTTGTTCATGTTAGGGAATCCCAGACATGAAACTCGAGAAGGCTCCAGCCATGTTGCATGCTGTTGTAGGACTTTGTAACTAGCACAGGGAGCCACGGTCTGGGCCTGAGCTTGGCCGCACTGGAGAGGTAAACAATTCATTTTGTTTTCTCATTGGAAACAGGAGAGCAATGGATCCCTAGATCTCTTAACAGCGCTAAGATTCTAAAATTCTGAGAAAAACAAACTGAAGAGGAATTATTAAGAAAAGTACAAATGTAAGAATGAAGACTGAGCAAGTTTCTAGACTTGGCATATGTAATGGTTTAGTAACATGAACTGATAAGCAACCAGAATGGCTTAAATGACTGTGGGCATTGGAGTCATTCTACCTACAAACCTAAGTTACAGGCAACTCCATCTCCTATGAGGTATAAAGCTAAGGAATTTACCTTCTTTTCAATCAAACAAATTCTAAATCTGCCCTTTGAGAGTAGAAAAACATATCACCTCTTCTTGACCAGTTTCTCCAGCATTCTCAATCTCTTGCTTCTCATTTATTTGGTTCTCCTCTTCTGCCTTCATGTCCCTTCTGTTTTCTAAGGATGTGGCCAACACTTGCTTACTCTGTCTTTGGACAAGAATGCCAGGCCTCATTGGCACATTCAAGTTCACAACTTGCATTAAGACCCTAGAAAGTCAATCCATAGAGTTTTAAACATTTATGCGTCCTCGGTAACACACAGAAAATAGCCTCTGTTATATCCTGTGCCACACTCACCTTTCATGGTCCTCTGGATTGCTTGTCACCACTTTGGCAGCTACACAGTCTACACCTCCGTTCGCATCTGTGCAAGGTGCTTTCCTTGTGTCTGTATCTTTCCTGCCTTGGAAACTTAAAAAAAAAAAAAAAAAAAAAGCCACAAATTCAGAAAAAGAAGAATGGCCCCGATTTTAAGGTGTGGCATAGAAACTTCACTTTTAAACAGAAAATCAGCATTTCTAAAATGCTGAAATGAAAAAAGTAGATAGCTATGGTATTACTACTTTTTCTATTTTAAATTGTTTTACATTATTTCTAGATACATTTGCTAATGTGACTTGAAATCTGATCCCAATTATCAGCATGGATTTATACCATTTATATAAAAAGACCACCAATAAGAGGAGAATGCAAATGAAGCAAATTAGAAGGATGATGAAGAAAGTGATTGCTGTGGTTTCAAAGCTCATAGGTTTAGCTAGAAGATTCATCCACTCTCACAATCACAGATTGTCCAAATATTTTTTTCCAGCTCAATTTGGATGTAGTTCTCTTGTTCTTTAAGTTTTCTAGAAACAGAGGAATAAAAGGCTGTTTTCTTTGTTGTTCTTTTGGTCAGTTTAGCTTCATAAAAGATGCTCTGCTTGTTGCGGAGTTGACTCACACTGGCTAATTTCTCTCCATAAATGTGGTGGAAGCTGAGGTGGCCAGAGGGGAGTCTGAGCTAGGACATGTGTGATCACGCAGCTCACGTCCCCTCACCCCAAAAACCATCAGGATCCAGAGGAGAGAGGAATCAGAGCAGCTGGAGCTGAGTCCAGTTCCCCATTCTTCTCTTCAGTGACATCATAGAATCATGGAGCCCTTGAGTAACAGAGACCACAGTGCCAGTCTAATTCAGCCCATCACCTGGAGGCTGGAGAACCACAAGGCTGTTGCCTGTTCTTCCCCTCCTCTGAGAGGTCCAAGTTAGAGGCCATATGGGATTGTCTTGACCATTCTCTGGGAAAGAATTTTCTCCTTACTCTCCAAATACCATCATTCCTTTCCTAACCTGAGCCTGTTTCTTTTATTGCTTCTTTCACCGACCATGAACAATTGGTCTACTTCCTTCTTATGAAATCCTTCTCTATAGCCCTTAGCCCAAGGCTTCACTGTGAAATTCTACCAAACATTTAATGAAGAACTAACACCAATCTTTCTCAAATCTTTCAAAAAATTGAAGAGGGAACACTTACTAGTCATTCTATGAAGCTGGCATTACCTTGATGCCAAAGCCACTGGAAGAAAAGAAAGCTACAGACAAATATCTTTTATGAATATTGAATGCAAAGTCTTCAACAAAGTACCAGGAAACCAAATTCAGTAGCATATTAAAAGGATTACACACCATGACCAAGTGGAACTTATTCCTGGAATGCAAAGATGGTTTAATACACAAAAAGCAACCAATATAATACATCACATTAGCAGAATAAAGGTAAAAAAAAAACACATGATCATCTCAACTGATGCAGAAAAAACACTCGACAAAAATCTAACACCCTTTCATGATAAAACCACTCAAGAAATGAAAAGAAGTAAACCTATCTCAACATAATAAAAGCCATATGTGAAAATCCTACAGCTAACATCATATTCCATGGCAAGAAAATACTTGCAAATCACATAATCTATTAATGAACTGATATCCAGAATATATAAAGAACTCCTACAACACAGCAACAACAACAAACCCAATTTTGAAACAGGCAAAGGATTTCAAGATATTTCTCAAAAGAAGAGATACAAATGAAGAATAAGTACATGAAAAAATGATCATCACTAATCATTAGGGAAGTGCAAATCAAAACTACAATATGTTACCATCTCACACTTAATTGGGGGATTACTTTAAAAAGAAAAAGTATTGGCGAGAATATGGAGAAACTGAAACTGGAAATACAAAAATTAGCTGGGCATACTGACAGGCACCTTGTGCATTGTTGGTTAGAATGTAAAATGGTACAGTCACTGTGGCAAACAGTATGGCAGTTGCTCAAAAAAATTAAGTAAAGAATTACCATATGATGCGATAATTCCATTTCTGGGTATATACACAAAGAATTGCAAGCAGGGACTCAACAGATATTTGTACACCCTTGCTCATGGCTGAATTATTCAAAATAGCCAAAAGGTGAAAAAACTCAAATGTCAGTTGAAGGATGGATAGATAAAATGTGGTGGTGGCGGCGGTGGCTCACACCTGTAATCCCAGCACTCTGAGAGGCCAAGGGGGGTGTATTACCTGAGGTCAGGAGTTCGAGACCAGCCTGGCCAATGTGGCAAAACCCCGTGCCTACTAAAAATACAAAAATTAGCTGGGCATACTGACAGGCACCTGTAATCCCAGCTATTTGGGAGGCTGAGGCAGGAGAATCACTTGAACCTCGGAGATGGAGGTTGCAGTGAGCTGAGATTGCATCACTGCACCGCAGCCTGGGTGACAGAGTGGGACTCTGTCTCAAAAAAAAACAAAACTGTGGCATATACACAAAATGGAATACTATTCAGCTTTAAAAGGAATGAAATTCTGATACATGTTATAACATGGATGAATTTTGAGGGCATAATGCTAAATGAAGTAAGCCAGTCACAACAGGTCACATGTTGTATGATTCCACTTAACATGAGGTATCTGAAATAGTCAAATTCATAGACACAGAAAGCAGAATCATGGTTAACAGGTGCTTCAGGGAGGGAGAAATGGGAAATCAGTGTTTAATGGCTGTAGAGTTTCAGTTTAGAATTATGAAAAAGTTCTGGAGATGGACAGTGGTGGTGGTAGCACAATAATGTGAATAAACTTAATACTCAGCCCTTTACCTGTCCCACCTCTCAATCCTTTAAGACTTGATTCTTGGCCAGGTGCGGTAGCTCACGCCTGTAATCCCAACGCTTTGCAACGCCAAGGCAGGCAGATCATTTGACGTCAGGAGTTTGAGACTAGCCTGGCTATCATGGTGAAACCCGTCTATACTAAAAATACAAAAATTAGCTGGGTGTGGTGGCATGCAACTATACACCTAGCTACTCAGGAGGCTGAGTCAAGAGAATCGCTTGAACCCGAGATGCAGATATTGCAGTGAGCTGAGATTGCACCACTGCACTCCAGCCTGATGACAGAGCAAGACTCCGTCTCAAGAAAAAAAACAAAACATACATGCAGCTTCTTGGACCCCCCATTCTCCTTCTATTCTTGTTGCTTCTCTCATGCTGGAGGGGTGAGTCAGGGAACACTCCCCTCTCTGTGGTTTCTATACCAACAAACCAAGAACAATATTTGCTAGACCCTGAATTCCATTCTCTCAGTTGGGGTTCAGGTGAGGAACACTTACTCAGCTCCTTCTCTGTGTTTGAAGAGAAACAGTATTGCTAAACCCTTCTTTCATAGACTGTATGCCTCCCCTTCACACCCCTCCTCAATTCAGATGTCCATTCACTAAAAACTTCCTTCCTCTCAACTATAAAATTCTTTACATATGATTTCTAAACCCTTTACCCATACAGTCCCCAAGGTGAGTTTTGTTTCTTAAATGGCATTTTGTTCATCTTAAAATGTGAATGACCTCACTTACATTTTCAAAGCAAAAATGTGCACCCTACACTTTTCTTTCTGTGGTAGCTTATAGGCAAGGATGACAGCCAGCAATTCCTCCCATCCTGTGTATACACGTCTCTTCTCCCATTGAGAGGGGAAGTTGTTTTCCCTTTCCTTGAACCTGAGCTGGCCTGTAACCTGCTTAAACCAGTAGAATGTGACAGAAGAAACACTGTGCCAATTCAGACCAAGCCCTTAAGAGACAGAGTAGCTTTTGCATTCATCCTCCTGAAGCCTTGAGGTACCAGGTAGGAAGTCTGACCATCCTGCTGGAGAGAACAGCTCCCATGCGGCTCCAAATGTGAATAAAGTCATCTTTTAAATTCTTGCCCCAAATGAGCAATCCTAACCAATGCCAAGTGAGACAGAACAACGATTCAGCTAACCTAAGCCAACCCATAGAATCAATAATAACCACTAAATCTCACTTCTTAACATATCACAACTATAGGCTTTGTTCTATAACTGAGTATGCCCAAAACCCCCTTTGGGATTTGCCTTGTAAGCAAGGGTGAAGAAGTCTGTTACACTCAGGGAAGACAGAATATCCTGATGCTCAGCAGAGGCGAGGAAGGTGGATCTTTTCAAAAGTCAGCAAAACTCACAGTCTATTTAAAAAGAGCGTTCTGATAAAAATACATCTGAAAGGAGGTCAAATATATATTTGAAAAGAAGGGCCAGGCATGGCAGCTTATGCGCCTCTAATCCCAGCACTTTGGAAGGCGGAGGTGGGAAGATCATTTGAGTTGAAGAGTTCAAGACCAGACTGGGCACCAGGGAGAGACCCCCATCTTACAAAAAATAAAAAAAATTAGCTGAGCATGATGGCAGGAGCATGCAGTCCCATCTACTCAAAAGGCTAAGGTGGGAGGATTGCCTGAGCCCAGGAAGTAGAGGCTGCAGTGAGCCATGATCACACCAGTGCATTCCAGCATGGGTGACAGAGTAAGCCTGTCTCGATAATAAAAAAAGAAAGAAAAAAAACATATTTTAGACAAAAAACAGAGAGAACCATACTGGAATTCCAGTATTTTGAAGTTCATCAGGAGTCAGTGGATCTACGCACTGCTGTTGTTAACATCACAGAACAGACAACGAGGTTCTGTGTGTCTCCTGATGGAATTACACATCATCACCTATAGAGTAGTCTTGCCCCACTTCCTTGAAAACATTTGAATCTGAATCTGAACAAGTCTCTAAATCTACCAGTGTAGAGTAAACATAAGGGCCAGAGGAACATGTGAAACCACACAATAAAGCTCCATCATTTCAATGGAGACTATGGGGACACTGTATGGAAAAATAACCTGGTTTTTAAAATTCATCTACCTCTATATGATTTTAGAATACTATGCTCAAGTACATCAGTTGAAAATTTAAGGCTTGGTCTGGCGCAGAGGCTCACCCCTATAATCCCAGCACTTTGGGAGGTCAAGGCAGGAGGATCACTTGAGGTCATGAGTTTGAGACCAGCCTGAGCAACATAGTGAGA